TTCCCTCCCCCCTTCAATTCTGTTTTTGAGGGAAGGTGGGGTTGCTTTTATTTCTCTTCTGCAATGACCTGTTCTTCCTTATGAGGGTCTTCTGGTTTTGTTCACTTTTCCCTCTGCTTTACAGTCTGTCTATTCAGCAGTTTGCAGTCTTGGTCCCAAATATCAGGTGAGAGAGAGACACAGGGCTTGGATAATTTTCTGCTGCTGTTGTCTGATTTCATCAAAACCCAAGCCTCTGGTCTCCTCTGGCTCTTCAAAGAGCCAAGGGTTAGGTGCTCCTCGCTTAGCCTCTCCACTCATCAGGCTGGACCTGATTAGATCTGGTTCAGCACCCTCATTCTTAAAGGATGCCAGAAGTAGTCTCTCTCGAGTTACAAGATCATCCAATAGGTTCTGTCTTCGATCCCCTTCAAGTTGTGTTATCTGATGTGTTGACACAGCTCTTAGCAATAAGTCTTTCAAAAGGGCGATCTTTTCCTTCAGGTTCTGCAACAAAGCTCTGATTGTCACGGTAAGCTTAGGTGTCTTTTCACCTTTTCTTTCATACTGATTTCGTTGTTGAATTTTCTCAGCAATCTCTTGGGCAATTTGACATGTAGAATCGTATGTGAAGAACCCGGGCTTACCAGGGGTCCGGTCTGTTTTTTGTTTTTTAAGACTTCTGTTTTAACTCTTAAAAAAAATTAATTTATTTATTAGAGAGTTGAAGGAAATGAGTGAAGATGGACAACATAAGTAGGCTGCATGCGGATGAAGTTTGGTCTTCTAGCTGGTCCTCACTCTCCCCTGGTAGTGGACCAGGTATTCTTTGTGTTGTCACGTAACTCTCACCCTCCTCCTTCCCTTCCTCTCTCCCCTAGCAGTACCCAGAGACTGCTGATCCCACCCTTGTGCTAATGTGACTTGTGTTCAGGGCCCACTTATGAGTGAGAACATGAGATATTTAGTTCTTTGTTTCTGTGATAGTTTACATAGTATGATGGTCTCCAATTCCATCCTTGCTGCAAAGGTCATGATTTTGTTTTTCTTTTCATGGTTGCATAATACTCCATCAGGTATATGTACCACATTTTCTTTATCGAGTCCCCTTTTGATGGACATCAAGTTTGGGCCCATGTTTTTGCTACTGTGAATAGTGCAGCAATAAATATGTGTGTGCTGGTGTTTTTTTTTTTTTTTGATAGAGTGACTTATGTTCCTCTGGATATATTTCCAGGAGAGGGGTTGCTTGATCATATGGAATATCAATTTTTAGAAGAAACCTAACCGAGGCATTTTTAATTCCAATAAGTTGATAGAGAACACTATATAATATTTTTGATGAAGTCTAAGATTTGTAAGAATTCTCAACTAGGAACTGAGGGAAGAAATGAAGATAGGTGAGTGGGTACAAAAAACAGATTTGGGAGCCAATTCTCAAAGGGTTGCAAGTGGACCAAAAGAAGATTCTGATATCCCCAAGTAGCTCCCCAGTTTGTACTTGAGATTCCACCATGTGAATGGAGTCCTCTCCTCTCTAGGGAGATTACTTCTGGGAAGAGAAAAACATGTGGTCACCAAAGGTCAGGGTTTATCAACCTTGACACTGTTGACATTGTGGGCTGGTTTATTTTTTGATGTGGTGGTGGGGCATTCGGTGTTTTGTAGAATGTATAGCAGTACCTCTGACTTCCACACACTAGATACCAGTAGCATCTCCCTCCGACTCAGTTGTAACAACCAAAAATGTCTCCAGATATTACCACGTACTCTGGGGGGCTGGGAGGAGACACAAAATCACATCACCACTTCCCTCCTTTCAGCTGAGAACCACTGCATAGACCAAAGTCCAGTGTTGCTTCCTTCATGTTTTGTTCAAAAAAATTCTGTTCAGGCAAAGTCCTGGCTCAGATTCTAGACCATTTTCTTGAAAAGACACGGCAACTAGGTGAACTCATGTGAGCTGTGGATTCAGCATGCCTGGGTTGTTGTATCAGTTCTATCACTCATTAGTCATGCAACCTTGGACAAGGTACTAAAATCTTCCAATGTGCAGTATCCTCACTATAAAATAGGGTTAGTAGCATCAAACTTTACAGATTTCTATGTGAATAAGAGACAATGCATGGGTCACACTGCACTATACCTGGCATACAATAGAGCTTACTAAGTACCTAGTCCCTTCTCTGCAAGTTGGTGTGTCTCAGAAATAAGAGAGATTAATCAATCATACTGTATCATTAACTTCCACCAGAAACTTATCAACCAAATTAGGTACCTGTTTCTTTTATCAAGCTCAATTTCGAAGCCCACCTGGTATCCACCCCCCAAACCCCCATTAAAAAGAAAATAAAATATAAAACCTAACTTGATGCAAACTTATGATTTATTTTCTCTTTGTAGTTTAGGAGGGTCTGAACGGAAAGCCCTTATCACCGAGCCTCAGCTGCAGAAGAAATCCTTTAATCATGACCATCCTCCTGGAAGAATAATATAGATTTAGGGCCAGACTTAGGTTACTGAGCAAGGAGGAAATACTGCCAGCAGCTACCCTACCCCTTCCTGTTGGCTGCAGTTGGCTTTAATCTGCTTCTACTGTCATTTTGAAGTCTGGAGATATTTGAGTACAGCCTAATTAAGTAGTTGTGGGCCGAGAGAGAATTTATTTTTGTCGAACACATGGCACAGAGGGGGATGTGTCAAGGATGCTTATGAAGCAGACTGGCCCCTTTGGTACCTGGAGTGCCTCAAGTTGCCCTAGGCCCTTATTGTGGCAGTACTCACTCAGAGTACTTTTGGAGGGATGCTTGAAGTGTCTGAGGAGATTTCTGTCTTTGGATTCTCTTTCACTGTTTGCGGCAGTATAGAGCTTAAGAGTGTGGTATAAATATTCCCACCACAAAATCAGGGTGGATTTAAATCCTGGATCAGTTGGTTCCTAACTAGGTAGTCTTAGGCAAGTGACAATCTTTGACAAGTCTCAGTTTTCTCAGTTAAAACATGGGAATATTAAGCCTGATTAATTAAACCAATATTTAGTAAACGCCTGTCCATGCAGGGCACTGTCCTAGATGTTGGGGTAACACAGACATACACACACACACACACAAACACACACACATAGTCACTGTTTTCATGTTTATGTTAGGCGGTGTACTACTAATGTTTTAAAAAATGGGTTTCCAGGCCAAGCATGATGGTTCATACCTGTAACCACAGAGCTTTGGGAGGTTGAAGTTGAGGTGGGAGGGTTGTTTGAGGCCAGAAGTCTGAAATCAGCCTGGGCTACATAGCAAGTCCCTGTCTCTACAATTTTAAAAATATTATCTGGGCATGGTGGTGTGCATCTGTAGTCCCAGTTACTCAGGAGGTTGAGGTTGGAGGATTGTTTAAGCCCAGGAGTTCAAGTCTGCAGTGAGCCATGATCACATCACTGTATTTCAGCCTGGATGACAGAGGGAGACCCTATCTCAAAAACATATATTTAAATACAATTAAAATTTTAAAATTTAAAACTAGGTTTCCAAAGAAAGGATCTGATTTATAGTGTTTACCAATTTCTGTGGTGTAAATATTTCAAGTCACCAATGTAACACTGATGAATGCAAAAGTAAGAGGTGCTGTGCAAGATCAGCTCTCATGAGCTGGTGCAAGCCTGCTCTAGCACATCACTGCTATCAAAACACTAAAAACCTCCTGGGGATATCATGAGGTTTCAGTGAGATAACAATTAGCAGATATTTTTCACACAGTGAGGGATCAGTACAAGGGGGCCATCGTTATAACAGCAGGAGTCTTGAATCCTCCCCAATAGCAGAGACTGGAGGGCTGACTCTCAACACAATCACTCCTACCAGCTGTCTTTGCCAACTCCTATCCAATTTTCCTCTATAAAATCATTTAGTGACCTCCCTGTGCTGTTACGATAGGTGCAGCTCTGCTGATAGTTTTCTCAGTGGGTGTCTCAAAATCAACCAGTTTGATCACACACACAGACCTAGGGTCCCATTCAGAGAACACAATTCATCAGAGTTGGGGCAAGTTTCAGAGACTCTCCATTTTCATAGGTAACCCTGGTGATTCTGTTCTAAATGGCACATGGAGATCACTTTGGAAAACACTCTTTCCATTTTTCTTTTTGCCTTAAAGTCCCATGACTTTCTGGCTCACATTTGTGCCTTAATAAACTTATTCTATCAAATGAATTTAGATTATTTCTTCCTTTTCTTTTTAGGATAGCAAAAGAGTCCAATAAAATGAGAATCCCAAGAGATAAAACTTCCACACATGTGTGAAGGTAAAAACATCTAATGTAATAGCAGTTACAATTTATTGAAACTTAGTTTATATGTCAGCTGTATATTCTGACCCCTTGATGTAAAACAATTCATTCTAATCTAATACCACACTGGAAGATAGGTAGTGCAGTGTAACGGTCATCATCTGTATTTTATAGATGAAAAATCTGAGGTGTCGAGAGGCTAAGGTGCTTGTCCAAGATTTCCCAGTCAATGAATGACAAATTCATTGAATTCACCCAGCTAGGGTGGTTCTAGAACTCTCACCCTTAATCACTGTGCTATTAGGAACTGCCATGCTATTATTAGGGTTCTTTGAGTTGGTGGGCGGGTTTCAAAATTTACACAAACTATACATTTAGATGTGAAGATGAGATGAGAAGTGATTTTATCAAAGGATGCAGCCATTGCTATATTTGGAAATTGTTGATCTCTTTCAGTGGGGTGCCCACTCTGTCTGGCAAACAGTTGGGGAAATCATTGGAGGAGAGTGCTTGTCTAAGGGACTAATACCAATAGTAGTTGACTTTCACTGAGTACTTACTATGCTCTGGGGACTGATCTATGCAATATTATTTAATGATGAGAAGGAAGAGACATCACAGGGTCTAGGACTGAGCTGGAATTGAGAGCATCCTTCTAATAGACTGGGAAGAAGTTGGTTAAACCAGGTCAAGAAAAGCAGCCCAGGAAGCAAAGTTTACTGATCAATGAGATGAAAATAGACATGAGATTAATAGTAGAGGGTAATTAAAGAAGCTCGAAAATCAACTTACCTTTAGCACTAGGGACACTAATTTCTAAATCTGGGGAAAAAAGAGATAGCTATACTCTTTTACTGCCCCACCCCTCCAAGCTCAGGATTGTGCATTCTGAGTCATTGCTAGTCAATCACAACCCCAAAGTGCGTGCTGGGGTGGATAAGTCAGGGCAGGAAACCACCTAAAGCAAATATTTTAAGATTCTTAAGGTTGTCCACAGATAACACAGCCTCAGAGGTGAGCCAGGCCAGCCAACTCACTTTACACATGGTGAAACCAAAGAGATGAGAAGTGATTTTATCAAAGTCAACTTGCAAGGATGCAGTCGTTGCTATATTTAGAAATTGTTGGTCTCTTCACTTCCAGTGGAGTGCCCACTCTCTCTGGGTGGTGTGTGTGTGTGTGTGTGTGTGTGTGTGTGTGTGTGTGTGTGTGTGTGTGTGGTGGGGTGGGGGGTGGATATCAACTAGGAAAACAGTGTAAGATAATAGGGAAGTCCTGAATTGGAAAGCAGGAACTTTGATTCCTATTACTGATGCCTTTTGGGGTAGGGAGAGCAGAAAATGTTTTGAGAAACTGATTGTTAGGTTGGTGAGTTGA